GGCTTTAGGGCCTGTCTAGCCTTAATTCTATAGGAGTCTATATAGAGGGGTCTAGGTCTAATTTAATTAGTTCTGGCCTAAATTCTACTAAGGAGGTCTATATAGTCCTATTAACTAGGGGCTAAGTGGTGCACTTTAGTATCCTTAATTCTAACTATCTCTAGAGCCTTACTGTCTCTAATTATTACTTATTACTGCTACGTAGGGCTAAGTAACTAGTGCTAACAATTAGTATGCTATTAGTAGCTAGGTATAGGTAGCCTGCCTTAATCTGTTATTACCTAAATAGGACTAGTAAGCTTAACTATACTAAAGAATAAGAGTAGGGTAGTTAAATACTAGTAGAATAGTAACTTAGTATAATAAATATAATAATAGTAGAGCAGGGAGTAAAAGGATCCCCCTGTCTAATACTAGTATACTTACTATAGACCTATACTACTATTAGATAATCTTATTAAGTAACTAACTATTATTCTAGTTAATTAAAATCTGCTTTAATATAGTAGTATAGTTATACTTAATCTAGGCTTGCTTCTGCTAATAGTAATTATTTAGTATAGACTACGTAAGCTAGATAGCGTTATAGGACTCTTAGAGGCTTAGAGCTTAACTAGTAGAGCGATTTATAGCTATAGCTTAGAGGTCCTTTTTATGTATTCCTTTTATAAACTGTTAGGTTAATTACTTAAAGACTATTAACTTAGCTAGTAATAATAGGTTACTGCCTATAGGGTCCTAACTACTAGCTTATTAAAGGAAAGCGTAGGCTTTATTATAATATACTAGTAGTAGTTTATTTAGCTCCTAACGTAGTGTCTAGATATTAGTAGTCTCCTCTAGCTTATTATTAAGCTGTAGTAGGAATTATTCTTTTAGTACTACTTTAATTTTATTAAGGTTAATATTAGTTATTAATTTTTATTAGGTAGTATAAATAATATTAGAGAGTTAACTAGAATTATCTAAGAAGCTTATAGCTTTACTATTATAGAATATATTAATAGCTCTAATAACTTAGTCTAGAAATATATAGGGTTAAATTTATAACCTCTTAAACTTAAAATATAGTTATAATAGCTATTAGGTAATAGAAGTCTTACTACTAAAAGTTAGGAATCTAGAGAAACTTAGTATTATAGGTTAGATAATAAGGGATAAAGCTTGTTATCTGTCCTAACTAATAGGGGGGTATAGGTTAGGTGCCTATTAATAGGCCTAATAGCTAACACCTTAGTAGGATTATAAGTGTTACCTATCTTATTTATAGTAATTTATCTTTAACCTTAATACGCTTACTAGTAATAAGCCTACTAATAGCCTCCTAGTAGTTAGCTTTACTAGTAAGGCTGTTAATAATAAGAACTTTCTTTATTATATACTCCCTATATATTCTTTTAGTTTATAATAAATAGCTTAGATTAAGCTCTTCTAAAGTAAGAGTTAAAGGGTGTCTATAGGTTAGTGCCTTTTATAAGGTTAGTAGTGTAATAAGGGGTTTTAAGAAGGGGTAGGTGTAATAAGGTCTATACTAAATAATAATATAATAGTAATAACTTAATGTCTATTAGCACCTATTATAAAGTTTTTAAGAATATAAATTCCTAAAGGCTTTATATAGTAGTATTTATAGGGGTTATTTCCTAAGGAAAAGAGGCCTCCTTAACTAGTAATATAAAAGGCTCTCTATCTACTACGTAAGTTAGAGTAAAGAATATAGTACTAATAAGCTATAAAGGTAATAATATTACTTTATTAATTAATAAGGACTAAGATAACTATTCTAATAATAGAATAAATAGCTAGCTAAGACGCTACTAATCTATATAAAGTAATAGCTACTAAGCTACTAAAGGGTATTTAGATTCTAATAATAGTTAAGTAGTTAGTAATAATAACTCTAGGCTTATAGTTTAGAGCCTAATAAAGAATAAGGTAAAGGGTACTTATTACTCTCTAACGTTAGCCTTATAAGGTAATAAAGGTAAAAATAAATAGCTATCTACTATAATTATAGTTTTTTAGTTCTAATAAGTTATATCTAGCTAAATAGGACAAATAGTGGCTCTAGAGTGTGTAGTCTGCTCCTAGCACTAGGAATTAAATTAATTAATCTTAATAGGGCGAAAGTAAGCGACGGCCCTATCTTTCTTTAGTTTCTAGAAGGGGAGACTAGAAAAATTGGAACGAAGCCAAAGGGACAAAACCTTGTGGGAAACTGAGTGAGTAAATTGGGGATGTCTAGTCTAGGTTTTTTCTGCTAAGTGGTGGGTGCCTAAGACCCCCTTGTCTTCCGTGGGTGCCTCAGTCCCCACTTGTTGGCGCCTGAGGCCTAAACAGCGCTGGGTTACTTTGCAGATCTGACGGCGTTATCGGTCCATCACGATAGTTGCCCGGTAGCGAAGTGGGTACTCCCGTACCTTCCCCCTCCCCGTCCACGATGGGAAACGAAAAGTAGCAACGGCGACCCAGCCGCCCGCGCTCGAGAGGGGGGCTGGGCTTGGGCTTGGGGGGGCAGCCAGCCCGCCGCGGAGCTTACATACATGCATCCCGTCTCTTTCTTTGATCGCCTGTCCGTCCGTGGCCACATGCGCTCACGTGCGGATGCGGCGCTGTCGGGCAAGAGAGAGGGAAGGAGGGGAGGCGGAGCACAGGCTTTCCCAAGTTTACCAGCTCCGAATACAGTGACAAAACAAACAAACCCCCCCCCCTCCCCTTCTCTTCACTGACGCCCCTTTGACGATGATAATGATGATGACGACGACGCGAACCAACGCGTCCCGTCATCGCGGGACGCAAGGGATGGCTGGGGTGCTTCGACTTTGTCGATGGTTGGGAAGATGGCGTTGAGACATTGTGGGGAGAAAGGAAGAAGGCGCCGGGGGGTGGCGCAAGCTGTGAGGAACTCGGACCTGCAGTTCTCTTGGGCAAAAAACAAACACCCCAAAGGGAATGGCCTGGAAGGAGGGTTCGGGAAGCGCTGTTATAGGTACCCATCGGTAGAAGGGGGGGGGAGCGGGACAGCGATAGCGCGGAAGACCCTGCGCTCGCCGCCGCCTATCGGCTCATCGATGTGCCTGAAGAGGGGTGGTCCCTGAACTGAGCCGTCGGCCAGGCGCAAGGAAGGGAAACCCCCGCCCCGGTCGGAGCCGAGCTCTGGGGGGCCCAGAAAGCGTTTGTTGTGTGTCAGTGGTCTGTCTTCAGACGCGTGTAAGTGAGTGAGTGAGCGTGTGTGTATGTGTGAGAAGTGAGGGCTGTGTCTCGCTCAATCAAAACACCTCAACTCACTCCCGCCGTCTCAGCTGCTCGCTCAGATCCGAACGGGCGTAGCATTTCCATGTCGCAACTCGGATCGCCGTCTCCCCCCCCCCCCCCGAATCACCGGTCAGAAGCCGTCGGGGGGAGTTGTGTAACGGATGTTTCAATTCGCAAAGAGGTACGTCGATACGGACCCGGACTGTTGTGTCAGCCAATGCGGGCCGGGTAATGAGCTAACTCCGGTGGGCTATCCATATGATGGTATTATAAAGGGCACTCATCGCCCCAACAGATGTGGTTGTCAGGCTCGTATCCCTGCTACCACTTTCGGAGTAACCTGAGTTAAATTGGTTTTAGGATCGTTGATTCGGCACCACCTATCTTAGTGCTGGGCCACATTGCAGGCTATGAGAACAGCTTACCGGGGAGGTATTTGCGGAAGGAGACCCAACCGATAGTTAGTAGGGTAATCGCCCCGGGGGATAATCGGATCTTT